GCCGCCACTGCCACCCCCGCCGCCCACGCCGCGACTGTATGCCAAAGCGCTGTGTGTCCCCGCAGAGCCCGTCATGCTTGATAGAGTCATTCGTGGATAATTTATCGGCATCACTTACTCCGGCGGCGTTGTGTGATGAACAAACCTACGCGCGCGCGCCGAACAGCGAAATAGTTCGTACGCTAGCCTAATTTATATTGGCGATTAGGACATCGGTCGTGGGGATGAAACACAAATGAATCCTTCGCTGAATAACGACTGATCAGCGGAATCACTTCTGCTCGTAAACAACAATAAGATGTTGAAGTTCGCCGCGTGCGGCTCGACTCATCGCGAGCAACTTTTCTTGGCCGTGACGCCAAAAATGACACAAATGACGAACATTTCTGAATACATGTTTCTTCAATGTGCACGGAAAAATGCAAATGTATCTGCAGAATGATCGCTTTGGATGGATGGGGATATGTGTATGGGCGTGCGCTGAAAGCATGAATTCAAAGAGGGAAATATTGAAATCTTGCCAGACGTATGGCGGGACGTTGATGAAAGCGCGAGCGTCGCTTTGCCTCTATCGCGAAGCCCTGAGACGAACTCGTCCGTCTCAAGGCGATGCGTGGGACGGCGCCGTTAAATATTTATTTCGATATAACTCCTTGTTCTGCGCTTAATTGCGCTCGTATGTAACAATCATTGCATTATGCTGATTACTTCGAATTTAAATATCTTATGTGCTTTTATGAAGGAATGAAAGGTAGGTTACGTGCCCACCCCTTGTGGTGAATCCATTGCTTCAGGTTGTTTCTGAGAAGACTTGCCGCTCAAAGCGGAAAATTGCGTTTGCGTGGGATTCCATAATTCTTTTTCTGATTATTTCGTCGCAAAGAATGCATAAAAAAGTATGCGCATTAGGCGTAAAGTAGGGGTTATAAAATTATCTAGTTTAGCATTGTCATTAGTGATTGTCTAAAGTTTATAAAAACAATACTATATCGTTTTTAAAAGACACGAAAACTCAGTTTTCATCCACGAGACAAAAACAAGTTTAATTCATAATGGAATAAAAGTATAAAATGGGAAAAACATGTTTTGGCAATTTTAGAAGAAATAAGAATTATGTACGCAAATGTGAAAAAACAGATAGAGACAGAAAGTAGTGATATATAGGGGGACAATGGCTTATATTATGCGCATTGGATCGAATTTTGAAGAAAATTCTGACTAAATCAACTGAAAGATAGCAAGATGCGTTGTTTACTTCGGGACATTGTCAAAAAGCTATCTCATTCTCTTGAACTTTCGTCAAAATGGCATAACAATCACAGCACATAATAAAAACACTTTTCCTTTTTTCATTTATTTGATGAAATGAAAAAAAAAATCATTGATAAATTTGAATCATTCAGTCTGATTTCAGCGTGTAGCAGCGAAACATTATGGAGTTAGGATTGGACAAAGTGAAATAAATTATTTGATTGTAAATTGTTACCTTTTTCGTAAGAATCTACTGATATTATATTACGTGCCCGCGAAAGGGCAGAATCCTATTATGGGACTTCGGCAAAATGATAATGCAGAGTTCACTAGGTGGTATAAAATTTTATTACTAAATCTAATAACAAGCAGTAAAATTACAAAAACTAATAAAACTTGAAAAAGTAATAAATCGTACTTCGATGATATGGTGATTACCGTATCGGACTGTTATACCAAAGCCGTGGTTTTTTTACGTGCGAAAACAATCTTTGTACAGCTTCCTTCGGAGGGGTAGTAAAGCTGGCTTTCTCAATTTGTGGATTTACTGCATGTAAAAGATCCTCAAGCCTAAAAGACGCCTTTGAGCTAAATTTTAATCTCTTGTTTCGTCGCCCTAGTGATACCTTCTTTCGCTGTCAGATGGCGAAAGGAACGAAGCACAATTTGCGTGCTCAGACGGAACGGCAGTTCTGATGACCACGTGAAATAAGTCAATCTTGAATTGCATTCCACTGCATGGAGTTGAACTTTTAGAGGATGATCCTTTCGCAGTAAGCCTGAAGCGTTGCCTGGTGTTGTCGCGGGGACGTGTTTGCTGCCACCCCTTGCGGCGCTGGCGGGGGCGGCGTGGGGTGGCGCGAGGTCGCGGGTGGCGTCGGCGCGCGCGGGGGCGGAGT